AGATTCTAGAATGTTGAGGAAGTCTGTTCCGGTGGAAAAATACCTGAAAGTTACGTTCATTGTATGTGAGTCAACCTTTTCCACAATTCGCGATTTTTTTCATTTGTTAAGTTATTCAAAGTCGGCGGTGTTTATTCACCTGGGGATTTAGTTCATTTAAACAAATCGCCATAGTAAAGGATTTTCAATAATACAGGAGCATATACATTATACATAGACATTCTACTCTATGAAGTGGCAAGTCTGAAAATGCCGTAGATTTCGAGAAATCAATCTCATTGTGCGAATAGCCAGCGGCGGCATCTGGCGCAGACAAACGGGTCACGAGAGTTGGCTAGTTGGCTTATCTGGTCGTCCTGTAAACTCGTGCATTTGAAATGCCACCAGGCCTTGCAGGTGTGACATTGCATACCGCGTCTGACGTTCGACGGGCAGCCATTTCGCCCACATCTGTTGGGGTCTATCAATGGCTGCAGAGGGCAATCGGTATAAACTGATGTCATTTTCCGGACTAGATGTAAAATAGGAAGTGTGCGCAAAATATAAGGGTTTATCTCTCAAATGTTTTGTTAGAGTGATAAAATTCAACAACTACTCTTGTGTACTCTGTGAATAGATTGAACAACGAAAAAATTCTTTCACGCATTTGCACGAGGGAAAAACGAAACCGATTTCGAACGTACCGAACGTACTCACACCACTACTTCCACTGAGTTTTGGCAGGAAGTAGACATCGGTACTTTGAGTTGTTTTCATGTATTCATATTCATATATTCATATTCATATATTCGTATTTTGATGTCGTGGATGAGTATCAGCAAAGGCAGTATACTGCTGTGATAAAACGTACCAGCAGAGAAAGTTGAACGGCCGCGAACTTTCCGGTCTCCACTCTTAAGCTCATCCCACCATGCGCCACCGAGCCAGGGAGTGCTGTTGGTGGAAACCTATGTTAAGCGGTAAAGACCGTTGGGACCACTGGTATGTTCGGGTGGGCCACGTGACTCTGTCCAGCCAATCATTTGCTTGAGTTCGTTTCGTACATGGATCGGCTCTGGTGTATAGGCATTGCAGTGCCTGCAATTTTGTTTTTCTTTACATGTAATTGCTAGTGGTGTACAAACTTGCTTAGTGGGCTGTGGTTCATGAGCTTTCTTCCTGTCTTCCATTCGCAGAAAGTGTCTTGAACCCCTGACTTCAGGAAATCACCGTCCCCCCCCGTGCACAGGGGAAGCATGCTTCTGTAGCGTGTATACTACATATTTGGTGACCACACCAGGGTGGTTACCACACATTAATGTGGTTCCATCACAATTGTTATGGATCTGCATATGTGCATACATACCATAGGACCAACCACTTGCCCAGCCACACTCGGCCGACGCAACCCCAGATAGAGCAACATCTGGACATTCCCACCAGCCTCACGCACCACAGCACTAGATCTGGCCGGTCCACGTAAACCATGATACACCGGGGACGTTGTCTCCCGGTGTCCGTGTCCCCCCGAAAAAAAGCCAGTGTAGTATACAGCACATGCTATTTTGGTTGATTTATAGGTAAGTTTTGGTGACGTAAAACCTTGCCTACTGGGCTTCAGCTTATGAGCTTTCTTCCTGTCTACTATCCACAGAAATTGTCGTGAGCCCCTTCGGAGTACCACTGTTTCCCGGTGCATCCCTACAGTCCGTACTACAATGGTCAAAAAGACAAGGAGGAACAAAGATTCTGCAGTAGTTGTTCGTGGTGCAGGTAGTTTTTTGTGTTGGAATTGCAACTTAAAACGCAAATGTTCCGTTCTGTAGAGGATATACGGTTCACTCAAAAGCGAAGCCAATTCCTAGTGAAGGTACACCGATATTGCTTGTCATTTTCTCCACAGGGGTTACATAATCTGGGGAATACATGCTACCTCAATTCCAGTTTGCAATGTTTATCTCGGAGTCCATACTTGTTGGAACTGTTGTCTCTACCACCGTTGTCTGGCGCCACCTTGAAGCGGCCTGACGGCGTATGTTACACAGTTATATGAGTTCAAAAATCTGCCGTTTGCAGGATTCCGTTCGTACATTGCAGATCTGTCTTCCGATCATGAAAGCCCCAATAACCAAACGTTTCACCGAACTCTGCGCTTCGCTTCGTGATATGCGTAGTGACGCTTCTGGGCCTTGTTCCCTCAATCCTGCAGTTTGTTCTTGTTCCCATTGATATTTTCATTTCTTAGTCCCTTCGTGAGTCCATTCTCGAGCGGTACCCACGCTTCAGCGGGTTCGGTCAACAGGATAGTCATGAAATCCTCCGCGCTTTGTTAGATTGCTTGAAACAAGAGGAACTAATGCGTTGGCGTAAAGGTATCCTGGAAAAACTAAGTATTGATGTAAAGGTGAGTCACTTTCATTGATGGCGAACCTGTCTTTTTATTCGCCGCAACCAGTAATGGGCACTGGCAGAGTGACCCAAATGCCAGTCTAGCTATTATCTCTCAAGTCGGCAGTTAGCCTTACTGAGGCTGTTTGGGGGTCCCCCATAAAAGCAAATGGGTTGCTCGTGGTTCAGCTACTGTACTATACTAAGCAACAAACGAAATGTTCAACTTGCACTCTTCCTTACGAGGAACATGTCTCATTGTGTATATATTTATCTGTACAGGCTTCACGTGACCGAGTTCGCTTTGTTTTATTCCGACCCATCATCATTGTCGAGATGTTATCTACATTTGGCGTATTTCGCATGTTGTCCTGTGTGAAGAGCGTTGAACCCTTATCACGTTAAAATGTGACGGACCGTGAATCCTATTTCGTCCGGATGTTTCCTTGTTAATCCGTCTAATAATGAGTTCAAATCCACTCCGCTTCTGATGCTGAGAAGAATACTTTCTATCGAGAGCCATCCGGGCTCATTCTTCAAGCAAGAAGTACTGGCATTATGATCCATGTGGGCAATATGAATGCCCGATTCGGTCGTCTGAGCTTCTTAGGATCACATTCGAGTGGAGTTGAAGCTTGTCGCACAGACAACGAAGAGCGACTCCTCCAGTTGTGCGCTGATCATGAACTGTTTCTGGGAACTTACTGCCTAAACGTTAGTATCGTAACCTGTTGACCGGCAATTGCAAATCAACTGAGAATCCAGTTAGATCGCCGCCTGTGGTGAGCCACAATTCAGCACTGCCGTTCCTTCTGGGGCGCGCAAATTGATTCCGATCACTCCATGATGTGTGCACGTCTGGCGGTTCGTTCCCCTTCAGGCTCTTGAAAGTCAGCGAAAAGCATGCCAATCCACAATCGAAGAACTACCATAGCTTAGCAGTATGGTTCTGAGCAGGCTCAACAACTCTTTGCAATAAACCAGTACTGTACTCAGCGAGCACGTGAATGAAGCATGGCAAAATTTCAAACGGGCTATGATAGTGGCTTCCACTGCTATCTGTCCAACTTCCCCTTTTCGATTACAAGACCAGTGGATATCATCGAGATCGCAAGTCATTATTGATGTCATGAAATCCGTAAAAGCAGGCAAGGCGTACGACCGCGCACGCAAATCCCTCAAACGCCAAGTAGTGAAGAGCCTAAGGAAAGCCAGAGAGCTCTGTCGGAAATCGAAAGCTCGGGAGATGGAGAAGTCTTTTGCTACTGGAAACAGCCGGTTGTCATAGTCAGCAATACGGGTAATATATAGTGCTACCTAACTGCCATACGACAGTGGTGAAACAAGACCCTAACAGAGTAAAAGGGAAGTGATGGGAACACATTGCGAAGACATTCTATATCCTTGAAGGAAGACGTCAGGAGCAGGTTGCCGGCACCTTCTAAAGACCTTAACGTAGGATCTGAAGATTGTCTTTTAGTAATTGTTAGCCAGGTGGATCCACTGAGGATCCTTGGCAAGTCCTGTCCAACACGTTTGCAGTAGCACTTTAACTAAACGTTGGGACTAAGAAGTGACAGCATACTAGTCATTGGAGTCAGTTACGTACCATGTCCTATAGGGGTTCCAACCACTCCAAGGAGGATGAGCTCCAACCAGGAAGGCGCGATGATCCAGCCGCATTCAGCTTCACAATGAGCGCTTCCATGCACTTCCACTTCTTGGCCTGTACTCTGCCAACCTTCAGCCCTCAGGGTTTTGAACTAGAAATCTGTGATATACAACCGCTCAGCATACCTTATACATGTCCCAACTACCTCAACTTGACAGGCTTTATCTTCTGCTCACGATATTATTATTCGATATCGATATCCAGTACCCACTGATCGACCTCTTCATTACGAGCGGACGACAGTCCTCTAACGCCTGGTATCCCACTAAGACATCGGCGATCAGAACGTTTGAGGTCTGTAGCTTGTAGAGGACGAGCTCCACATCTACAAAATACGCATCTTCTACGTTTTTTGGGCGCGAAATCCCTTATCTCTATCGTGATTCGCTCCTGGCGCCAAATATGACGCAGTTTACTCAATGACATGCATGTCCTGATGAGGTATGTAGTGGAAGGCAATCTATCGCCCTATGACAGAAATGCATAAGAGCACTTCGGAGACTTAGCGGGTAGCCAAATTCGAAGACTACGGTTTATCTTCAGTGGGTCGAACGAACGACTTTGGCACAGCAAGAGACGACTGACGAAACTGTTGTCGGAAATATTCCGCTGGTTTTGATTTTTTCGCTAGCAACTGCTTCTCCTAGTGGAGTGAGACATTCCGTGAACTTTCGTGCCCCTCCTAAGCCTCTATTTTCAAACCCTTTTCGTTCCACGCAAAATTTACTGGAGCTAGTAAACCTAACTGAGTTATTTTACTACGTGAAGTGGTACAACTCAGGAAGGATTGACTGGTGGTTGCAAAACTGAACATTTCTTTGTGTGGGCGCTCAGATACTGTAGGTACCAAAATTTATACCGCATGCACAGCTATGCTAATTTTGTGCATATCTCCGCTGGCGTTCCCCGGAGATGCTTCTTCCAAATTTTTGCTAGGTTTACTTACGGGTCTTACAGGATTTTTGTAGGCACACAAGTCATTCGTTCGTTTTCCCTAGAAGTTTGTTGAGTGCGTATGCCAGAGGTGAGTATGATCTGGATCGACGTTAGTGTTTCAGCGTGATTTTGTCGGGATTAATGTCATGTTTTCAGTAGCTAGTGGCCATGTGATCAATCTGGGCTCATGAATGTCCACCTCTAGCATGAGGTCGGGCAGCACAATGTGTATTTTCGCGTAAACCTAATACTTCTAAGGGACTTTAGGCGACCGGCACAAAGCTGCAAATGATCGCCATCAAAGTCACTACGTCCTGAGCTGAAGCTACACAAGCTAATTAGTCTCATATCTTATGAACTGAGACGTCGTGCTTTGGTGACGGTGTGAGCCTTTCTTGCTTGTCAGATTATTGCTAATCATCATCATCGTCATCGACAGCATGACATCAGTGTTCAACACCGATGCTTCACTGCCGTACAAC